CTAATGAAGAATATATTGAGATAATATTTAGTAATTAATATGCTTCACAATATACTGCGGCTACTAAACTTTTGCTCCTTGTCCCTCCCTGATCCAGTCTCTTCTGCGAAGCAGTGATATGCCTTCATTCATACATAATTTGTATAGTCATTTATCTTGAGATTTTGAACATATTCTATACTATGGCGGGCATTTCTTACAATAGTGCGCATTTAGGAGGTGGCTGGTCATTCCGTGTCTGTTCTAATGTTAATTAATTCAAGAGTCTGCCTTCCTACTTTTCTGTTTTTATATGCGTAAATAACTTTTCGTGTCTCCCTATTTTGATGCTGGCCTTTGTTCGTGCTTGTAACATTTTTCATTGGGACCATTCCTCGTCTCGCTTTGTATTTACTTCAGCTTATTTTTGTTTTCATGTCTTATCATGCGCTTTTTCTATGTCGGTGTTTTTTTTCCTCTCGTTTGCTGCCAGTCGCTTGTCTTATCGTCTTACCTTTAGATAAATTTCTTTGTTCACTCATTTCCTCCCGCTGCAGCTGAACAGATTTATCCTTCCATGCCTCTCATTCTTCTATTTTTCTTCCATCTCTTTTTCATTTAGTATTTTACTGCCACCACTACTACATTGTTGTTTGCTTTGCAGTGACGTCTTGCTTGACTTCCTTTGTTCAAAAATTTCAGTAGAATGCCATAATATTTAGTTCAAAATTTTGCACTATTTGATTTTCGTTAAGCGTAGTTTTTCCTCTAAATGCACTATTTCAGTACATATTATGTGTAAACTGTCAAAGTTTCTGTTTAGTTTCAATATATATTTATATAACATAATAATATAATTTATTATATTACGGTATTTTATTATATTATATTATTATAATCCCCTAACAATTTGGAATCCCGCCATCTCAAATCTCATAAATAATTATCCGACTGAAGTTATTGAATTCAAATAATGACTCATTCCAACCTTAATTTTATGCATACGTCTAATTCGACTCCCGTTTCTTTTCTTTAAAGAAAATTTACTTCTAAATTTCTTGTTTGAAGTATAAATTTGTTATATTGAAAAAATATAACTCAGTACTCACTGCAGTGAGTGACAGAGCGCGCATTTTCTCGTCGACGAAAACATGAAGTCACGGACGGACAGACGGACATGGCGAGCACAATAGTGAATTTTTTCATAAATGAGAAAATGCGCTAAAAACGTACATTTTTTTACTATTCTAATGCCTTATGATGCACGACGTAGAGGTGCAAAGGTTTGTATCCAATCTTTGGTCTACCCTCGCCCAACTAAGGGTAGGCGAGATGCTTGGTAGGACCTCTCGACGAAACGTCCTGACAAGCAATGCGAATATTGCTCCCGGCATTAACACTATTTAAATGCTTCACCTGCTCCAAACCTCTGCCAGTGTTGCCATTTTGCAATTCAGGATTATAATCAAGTTGATAAATGCTATCCTGTGTTATCTGCAATCAATATGTGAAATTGCTCACTTAATGGTCATTTATCAATCCGCGTTGGCCAACAACTGTCCTTAATATTTGTGTTGTCGGTTAACTTTCAGTTACTTTTTTGCTCACTAAATTTGTGCTTAGTCATGCAGATTTTGATTTAAATTGCGAAATGTTTCTTTACGATCGCTATCCAGTCATTCAATAGGAAAACTTTTCGGGAAAGTATAGCCACTGTTTATGGTTCAGCCTGGGGGGTTGTCCCGAGTTCCCTGGCGAATAGTGCGCTGCCGTCGCCTATTGTTGACACGTTTTACCCATCTATTGGCTGAATTCATTTCTCGAAGATTCTTGATTTTTATCATTCTTAGATTGCCTAAGCCAAGAATTGAACAAGAATTTTGAATCATATATTATGCCAAAATATTCACCATAGGTACTCCGCTGACCAGTTCCATCATTTGTCAAAATTGTAAGTCCCATAGAAACAATTTGTGCGACTAAATTTATAAAGTAGATGTTAAACTCAATTGTAAAATTAAAATGCAAGTTTGCGAAAAAACTATGGAATGAAAATTTTAAGTGATAGGAATTATGGCCATTATTGGGCATTGCTCAGAGAGGTTTTTCGTTTAAAAATAGAAACAAAGTTTTGTATTAATGTCTGTATGTTTTTTTAATAATAACCTGCTAACATGTCTAAATTTTGTCAGTCTTGTGCCTTTTCGATGTTTTGTTGTATTACAACATTCATGTATGTATACTTATATGATTATTGTGCCTAATTTGGATGAATCGGTTCCTAGAATCGCAAGTCGCTCAAACGGACGCATACGCGCCATCTCCTGTAGTTCTGTTCTCTCCTAATTTGTAAGGATCAACTCAGAGTAATGATTCGTGCAGGATCTTTGACTAAGCCGTGCATCAAGTCCTGAATCTAATTTAACGCGTTAAGTGCGGCTATGTTGTATTCAGGGCGTATTTCATAACCGTGGTGCGACCCACCGTTGGGTCGTACCGGTCGTATGTGTTAATAACCCTTTACTTACGGATACATTTACCGTCGTTGATGCTATTCGTACCTAAAGGTATGGAACCGAGATGTCCCGTCAGTACATGGGGGAAGAGTTGAGACTCCTGCGTCGGCGCATTAGGCGGTGTGGCTCATAGGACGCCCCTCTTGTTGACTCAAGGATCCGAACATCAACACGAAGCGACTCCCTCCAAGGAGAGGCAGATACGGCTTATATACGTACCCTTCCTTTACACGAATCCTTATAGCAACATTGATTCGTAATGCCAAGCAATAAATCTTTTTTTTTTTCGCAGTTGGTAGCTCATGTTTTACTTGCATGATACAGTTTAATTGTGTTGAGAGCTAACAACCCTTTTGAGTTAGGAGCCAAACACTTCTGAGTAATGAAACACATTGATCAAAATATTGGCCAGTGTTATCCCTATACTTTGCGGACGACAAACTTGCGGATGTAGCCGCTGTCGAGGTTCGCAATCGTCAGAATCTCGCGGTCCTGAGAAGACATAGATCAGGGAACTAAAGCATTTAGATAAGGTAGAGTCGCGCCCGTAGCAGAGCGGTTTTCTGACATAGGTACTATTAGATCAATACTGTACATGCCGATAAGATCATTTGGCTTGAACGGAACTAAATTTAAGCTTCCAATTCTATTATTTTATCTTGAACCAAACTCCAAATAATCAACAAAAGTCGCATAAAACAAAGTGTTAATTGTTGAACTCAGTCTGCGGTCATAATAACTATAATTACATCGCCACCTGTGATACCAGGAAAAGGGTGGTTCACGACACTGCCCCTTCTAATTTCCAACAATTTAGGACTGCATTGGTTGGACTGGCGGGCTTCGTCTGTTTGCTGTTGGCTGGTCGTATGCAAACCTCAACCTCTCTCCTCTCGACTTCCAAGAACTACTATCGCGATGCGCATTGCCTTTGCCATACGCAAAAGCTTGATCACGTGCTTTGAAATTTCAAACAGGTTTTTGATTGAAAGTGCAAAAAATGGCTGTCTTTAATATAAAAAATGTATACTTTCAAGGAAAATAATGATTGAATTGATCGCTCACTGTCATTTGTTCTAGCGTGTTAAGCCTCACTTACTTTATATCGCATCATTGTTTCATAATCCTGTTCTCGTAAGTGCAACGTTGTAAGGTTGTTTCCGTGTTTTTGACTATAGTGGCCTGCTTATTTTAATCAAATTTTTATATCGGATTTATTCTGCACGTCCTAAAATTCTGCACGGAGCAAATGTTTAATTTATTGATTTATTTATTTTATTTACTGATTTATTCTGCACGAAGAAAATGTTTAGCATCAAGATTTTTTATGTGTATTTAAATTTTTTGTGCTAAGATTGTTACATACTCAAGTAAATACTACCTACAGTATGTTACATGTTCAAATCCGAATAAGATTTCAACAGCCGCTGTTTAAGAACCTAATAGCCAAATATAGTGCCAAGAAATATCATCGTGTTTTAACTGGAAATAATTGAAGATACTTCTAAAATGAATATAAATTTTCTTAGGACTTTATTCGCTAATTAATCTCAGTTAGTTGGTGATTTAAGCAATCTGTTAAAACTCCACCTGCAATAAAAAGTAATTATAAAAAATTGGATTTTAATTAATATACGGTACCAATTAGATTCAATGCATTTTAATTGATTCCTGTTCTTTTGTTAGGGGGTGTATTTCCTCGGGCAGTTCACAGGCCTCCTTAAGAAGTTCCGCCTCACTAAAGTCAAGGAAAAGGTGAGTGGATCCGCTTTGTGTGGAACGACGTGAGTACCACAACGATCAACATGCGAAGAACGAGTGCAAGTAGTGTTACTGACCAGCATCTTCATCATCATCATAAATTGAAGTGTTCGCTCCATTACTTCATCTAAACTTTTACCCTCTAATTTATTTGAATTCTATGTTGTCGAATTGATCACAATTGTCAAGTAAACGTAATCTGAACGTGAAAAAACCCCTCAGGGGGGACTTCTGACGCGTGTCCGTGATCGTCAGAAGTCCTATGGGATTTCGCGCTCCTAAGGGGATTGTTCCTGAGCGCCCCACCGCTGAGCTCGCGGTGTCTGACTGCAGGTCTGGCACCTGCGTGGGTATTGTGTGGCACCTGCGTGGGTATTGTGGGGCACCTGCGTGGGTATTGTGTGGCACCTGCGTGGGTATTGTGTGGCACCTGCGTGGGTATTGTGTGGCACCTGCGTGGGTATTGTGGGACACCTGCCTGGGTATTGTGGGGCACGGTCGTGGGTATTGTGAGGGCTTCAACGTGGTTATTGTTGCACATAAACATGGGTATTGTGAACGAATTAGCATAAAATAGTGGATATCAACGCATATATTCATGTTAATAACTTCATTTCATCCACTCACCACTACGACCGTCTTGTCTCCCGATTTCTCTATTGTGTATATTTATTTGCACTAAGACGTGTGCTTTCTAAACCTTCCAAATTCACGCCTGAAGGAACTTAGTATTTGCAGGAGCCAAGAGGACCGAGTCCCGCGCACCCACTGCCCCGGCCCGAGGGGTCCATGCCAGTCCTTGATCCGCCGGCAGCGGACCCGCTCCCCAAAATTGGGGAATCCCTTGAAAATGAGGAAACCAAAGCCCCGTTCATCGAAGATGACGTCGCCAAAAACAACGTTAAAAACCAGAAGAAAAATAACCAAGAAATTCTCGATACCAACGGGAAAGAAGAAATTCTACAAAACGGCCACGTTGAGAACAAACTGTCTAACGGCACTGCGCTTAAAACGGTGAGGAAGGAAGGAAAAAGTAATTCTGGCTCCCTCATTATTAATTCTGGCTGCCATAAGACGGACCGAAGTAGGCAACATATTGACTAGAAATTTTTTTCTAATAATTACGCCTTGAAACATTTTTTCCAAGAGATGTTTCCTATTACCACAATTTATTTCTTGTAAATTCAAGTTTATATCTTTCGTTCGACGAATCTTCAAAAAAATGATTTTTCTTCCCAAACTTATTCGCAAGTTTCGGTTTAAACGCCTCGTTCGTTTCATTTACTCCATCCACATTGCCTCATCCCCAAATCTAAATTTTGTTCCATCCAGCCAAATGACGTTGAAACAACTTTTAATCAACGTTATTTTCACGTCAAATGGCTGGTGCCTCTGGTGGGTTACTATTTCATCTACACCACACCAACTGCTGAACCTTGCGTTGTCGTGGATAAAAAATATCTGAAATTTAAGGTTCTCATAATTCATAATCCGGTCATTTCAAATCTAGTCATGCACAATACCGCTATGGATTTTCAAAATAAAGTACTTTTAATTAATGACAGACCCGTGAAAACCCTCTTATAATAAACTACTCGAATTTAATTCTGATTAAAAACCAAAACCAAAACAACTTCAACTCTTTTTTTTTACTGGAAATTTAAATGCCCAGAGCTAGAAAAAATGGTAATTTTTAATTAGACTCTTTTTTCGTTTCATAAATGCCTTCACTAATAATAAAATTCATATCCAGGTAATTTCCTAGCAAGATATGTTTTGTAACACACTAATAGACCTTAGAAACACTTTTAATATATACAGCCGTGTCAGTGGTCTGTACAAACTTTAATTGTATTTTGTACTCCCTTATTTTATATTTGATCTTGAATTGCAGGAAGGCGATCTTCCTGAAGCGCCACGACAGCCCCAAGCGCTCTCCAACGGACGAGTTTTAGCTTTGTCTTCTCCCAAACCCCGACGGAAGAAGAAATCCAAAAATAAAAAGAATATATTCACCTTGGGTTCCACGACTTCATCTTCTTCGGATACCGACGAAACAGATGATGAAGAACCATCGAAGAGCCATAAAATTAATAGAAATAGAGGTAGTAAGGAAAGAAAAGACAATAAACGCAAGAATCATAATAATAATAATGCTGATAAAAACATATTCGGAGAGAGTAACCGCAAAGTAGCGATGCCGGGGAAACGAGATCCCGGCGTCTGCAACCCTGCGTATACTCAGGACGTCGGAGGTGACCACTTAGACGATGACGAATGTGACGACGATGGGCATAAAGGCAACAGTAAGAAGAGCAAAAGACAGGACAATAAACAATACAATGAAGACAGTGATTCATCAAGTGAATCTAGTCTACCTGTTAAGGAATCTCGGAATAGCCCAAAGATACCAGGATTCCGGAGTTTACGGAACTCCCCGGCAAGTAATAGAAGCGGGTTCCAGAGCGGCCGGTCCTCTGTGTCTTCGGGGCGTAAAGGCATATTGAAGAAAAGTGGCTCCTGTGCTACCATCAATCTGGAAGTGGGCAAACAAAATGGTATCAATAAAAGCCACCCTAACAGCATCTTAGATGATCCAAATGATCTCGCTGACGGATCCCGTTCTGAGTCGTTACCTAGCGACCCGCAGCGCAGCATAAACCGAGTAAAATTCATCCTGGATTCTGGCAAACCAGACAATATAACGGGCAGTTATGACGACATTAGAATAGAAATGATCGAGAAAGACAGGATAGATCGAATGGAGAGAGGTAAAAGCCAAGAAAGTGGATATGGAGGGCTCAGTAAAAGTAGTCGGAAATGTCTTCTTTTTTGCGCAGGTTTACTCGTTTTAACAATTGCTGTGATCGTTGGGTCATTTGTGGGTTCCGGCAAACTACGGCAAGTAGGAAGCCGGCTCACTGGGTTAGCTTTAGCTGGGGATAGTGCGTATGGACAAGTCAAATACGTTAAGAACGCCATTGAAGTCAAGTTTCACATCATGAACGAAACATACACTCCGGCATTGAAAAAATCCGAAACTGATGAATACCAGGCGCTTGCTACACTCCTCGAGAGGGAACTAAAAAATATTCTCGTCACTTCTGAAATCGAATATAATGGCAACTCCGCCTTGAAGTTAAAGGTTATTAAGTTTGATCCTGGAAGCATCGTACCGACTTTTCGGATCGGGTGGCTCTTCATCGACCCTGACATATCTCCTCCACCGCCTGCACCTCTCAACATCACCATCGTCAGGAGTCGGCTGGAACAGCACATCAAGCTCCACAATGACTCTATTGATAAATATCAGGTCGACCTTGACACGCTTAGCGTTGACAGTAAGTTCATCAAATTAGAGGTGAAAACTTTATATTTCTTCCCAGTAGAAATAAAATAAGTAACGGAGTCAATACTCGTATCATAATTTTGCAGATGGAAATTACTGAATTTTATGAATGATGCGAGACTTGAAAATTTAAATTCTCTCACTACCCACGTGCTCAAATAATTCACCTAGTTGAGAATTCGACTAAATTTTTTGATGCCCACAATCTCACTTAGGATTAACGATTGAACAAATTTAGCTACAATTACAAACATTACGTACTAACTTTTCAAATTTTTTTTCTTGATATTCAAATTATACAATACAGTTTCTGTGTAAGAGTTTGTTAAATTTTCAGGAGGTTGTTGAGTATTTTGATTTACAACAGTGTAAAGAATACTGATTTGTCGATTGTTTCATTGCAATTTTTCATTGGAATGAAATCGAAACTTATTGTACCAACAGTTGCATCAAAATCTAGACGAGTATTGCGTTAATTAAAGCAGGGTTGGCAATGATTAAATCAAAATGATTAAATCATGTGATTAAATCACTTGATTTTTTTATAAAAAAATCATGATTTTTTTTATTTTTTTGATTTTTTTGATTTTTTCATATATTTAAATATATTGAGTGGCAGTCTTTAATTTATATTGAGGTATTGTTATTCATGGTTTAGTATAAATGTNAAAAAAGTTGAAAAAATAAAAAAAAATCAAATAAATAAAAAAAATCATGAAAAAATCAAAAAAATCATTTATTTTTGATTTTTTTGATTTTTTTAAAAAAATCAAAAAAATCGCCAACCCTGAATTAAAGTACTTGTACCCTCCAGGGGTGGTGGACATTTGCAAGAACAACGCTTCGCTCTGCAGCAACGAATGCAAGTTCTCGTATGAGAATCTACGCTTCTCTTGCTTCTGCCCAGATCACATGATCTTGGTTAACCAAACCACTTGTGTTCAACGTATCGATCTAAGTTAGTACCCGGGCGTTTTTACCAGCTTATTTGTTGATAATTTAGTATCCAATATCTATTTACGAGTTCCGAGTGCCTAACATATGCGTCTAATAAATTTTTCGAAAATGGATACCTTGAGCATGACGATAATTTTAGCAGAATTATTTTCAGCTGAGTGTAAAATTAGTTTTAATTTTATCAGTAGTTTTACATAATCGTGGATATCGTGGACATACCCTATTCTGCATAATTATCAAGGTTGTGAAAATTTTACAGGTCAGATAATATTTATCATCATTTTTAACTATTAAATACAATTAACTTTTATTATATTATATTACCTATTGCCTACAATTTTACATTTTTCCCCACCATAGCTACTACTACCACCACGGAAGTCTATCTCAACGTCTTATTTGATGAAATCTTCAGTAAGATTGGCGACAGCGTGGCATTCATTAGCATCAGAAGCGAACAAAGTGACAAACCTTCTGGAGATAAGAGCGACGGCAAAACTGGTTTGGCGGTCACCAACGGCACTTCAACGTCCCCCAGTACTTCTTCGTCTACAGGATCTGAAATGTCGTCTAGCACTTCCGAAGCATCTCCTCAAAGTAACACCGCAGCATCCATCCCGCTTGCTAATTCCACTCACGCGTCAACTAATGAAAGCGTTGGCGTTGAGAATGTTACTATTTCTTCATCGTCAGAGCAAGTAGAAAATGCTTCTCATGTAAATAGATCTCAGAACGTTCCATCATCCGAATCTGCCCCGGCGTTAAATATTGTAACCCTGAGCGAAGATTCTTTAGAAAGTCCGTCATTGTCTGAAGCATCGAATGAAACTTCAGTGTCTGACCAAAATATTAAAACTACTTCGAGCGCAAATGGTTCCACTACAGCCTCAACAACCACCAGTACAACTATATTAACTACAACAACTACTACTACCACTACTCCACCTCCTACATCTACCCCATTGCCTTCAAATTCGGAGATCTTGCAACCAGAGGACCCTCAGACTCTCAACTCGAATGAAGTAGACAATCCAGGACTTGCTACTGATGATATCGAGAACAAAAATGCTTCTGGATCGTTTACCATAGCTTCTACTCCGTTGAATGCTTTATCAACCCCTTCCACAATCAGTGCTCCCTCTACTGCTGCACCTCCTGCTTCTACCTCTGCCTCTTCTACTGCTGCATCTCCTGCTTCTACCTCTGCCTCTTCTACTGCTGCACCTCCTGTTTCTACCTCTGTCTCTTCTACTGAGGCATCTGCTTCTACCTCTGCCTCTTCTACTGCTGCATCTCCTGTTTCTACCTCTGCCTCTTCTACTGCTGCACCTCCTGCTTCTACCTCTGCCTCCTCTACTGCGGCATCTCCTGTTTCTACCTCTGCCTCTTCCACTGCTGCATCGTCTGTTTCTACCTCTGCCTCTTCCACTGCTGCATCGTCTGTTGCTACCTCTGCCTCTTCTCCTGTTTCAACTATTGCAACTACCGCCTCCACGAGCTCTCCAGAAGTTACTCCATCTTCCGCAATCACGAACGATACTATTGGTGTCGTTGAAGGAGCTCCAGCTTCTTCTTCAACCACTACCATATCACCTTCATCATCGTCAGATTCTTCGACAGTGAGAGTATCAAATTTCTCATCATCCACTAGTAGTGAAAATAACGCAGAACAACCACCCGCTGATACCGTTGGTAACGGTTTATCTGCTGACTCAAGTTTGGCTGGTAGTTTATCAAATTCTTCTTCTGGTGAAGTAAAATATGCTGTGTCGCCAGAAGAGCCAGAAACTATCGAAGTTATACCTTCTACCACGACGACAACTGAACGCGCGGAATCTGCTTCTGCTGCACCGATACCCGTTCAAATAAATCCGTCAGGAAATGAAGTGGAAGTTGAGATACCTTTAATATCCACTTCTACTGCAGACTCAGTTTCCAGTATTGTCAACCAGTCTCATGTGATTCCGTTACCGATAACAGAGAGACCTGTGCTGAACATGAGTTTCCCTGATTCTATAGGAGAGAACGAAATTGAGTTGAGTGGGCCCAAATCTATTGCTATAGTTTCCACAACCCCATTTGCATCCACTGATTCATCAGACACTGGCATCGGAGCTAGCACATCCGTTTCGACGAGTCCTTTTGTAAATGTTGTACAATCCGAAGAGCCTCCTACTAACGACCGAAACGCCACTCCTTCTGTTCTTATTACGACTTCCACCACAAGCCAACCTTTAGCACAAGAAACTGACTCAAATCATACCGCAGATCCTGTAGGAGTCGATCAAATGTCCCAAGATATTGCTAATGTTACCAAGAAGATGCCTCCAGCGGTTAGCTTGGATAATAGGTTAATGGGCGATCTCAACGCTTCCGCTGGAAGTGTTGAGCCTAAAGTAGTGTGGTCATTTAATAATGTGGGTCCTGCTGAAGTTGCATCGATTAACTCTTCAGCAGCAGCACCTGCGACAAATGATCTCTGCACAGGTGGCCAACACGAGTGCGGAGCTCAGTGTCTCCCACTATCACGTCGATGTGATTCCATCTTTGACTGCGCCGACGGCTCCGACGAGAAAGATTGTATCAAAAATTCGTGTTTCCTTAATTTCCAGTGCTGGAGCGGGGATTGTGTTGCCAGGAGCCAAGTGTGCGATGGATTCTCCGATTGTCCAGGTGGAGATGATGAACAAGGCTGTAACACATGGAGCTGTTTGGAGAATGAGTTTCGTTGCGAGGCTATTCCCCCTGATATGTCACAGCCGACTTCTGTCGCGCAATCATCTACGTCCCCCGTTCACGCAGGTCCTTGTTTACCTCTGTCGCTTCGCTGCGATGGGCAGCCGGACTGTTTCAATCACACCGATGAAAGAAACTGTATCGCTGTCGAACAAGCTGCTGAGTGCGAAACGGATGAATTTCAGTGTTCAGAAGGGTGGTGCATCCCTGAAGGTTGGCGTTGCGACGGCGTCTCTGACTGCGAAAACGGTGAAGACGAAGAAAACTGCGAGTGTTCGGGATTGGACGAGGCAGCATGTACTGTCGGAGGCTGTGTTCCAACTTTCCATTTATGCGACGGCCTTCGTCAATGTCCTGACGGCTCCGACGAATGGGGATGCGTCAGGATAAGGAACGCGTCTCGTCGACTCGAAGTCAGATCTGGTGCCTCTTTGTGGAGGTCGGTGTGTGGGGACGGCTGGACTTCTGCTTGGTCCGACCTCGTCTGCGAACAACTTGTCGGAAGTCAGAGCGTCAGCACCGAGGTTCGTAGGGCAACGAATCCCTCCCCCGATGGCAGTGAGGTCGTTGTACCTCGTCCTAGGGTAAGCTTAGCATCCGACGCCTCTCCTCGTTCACGGACTCCGCTTCAGTATGCACTCAGTCTGGACCAATGTTCCAGCGACGCTCTAGTCCACTTGAAGTGCAACCCAGATAAATGCGGTATCTGGGACCATGATTCTTCAGATCTCTTGAAGGATAATTCACAATCCAAACCTGACCAGTGGCCATCAATGGCCATCCTACTTCACACTCCTCCTACGGAAGATGACCTACAGGACTCTACCCCTTCTGCTCCTACGTTCAGCCACCCTTGTGCGGCGTCTATATTGTCGCCGATGTGGCTGGTGACCGCGTACTCGTGCCTTGTTTCCCAGCCTGGAGGACTGCAGCCCGACACCTGGGCGGTCGTGACGGGACAAGACGCGCCCAGCACCAAGTCTCCGAACTCGCAGCTCAAGCACGTCAGCCAGGTGCATTGACGAAAAAATATTCGGTATTTTGATGTTATATGCGAGTCATTTCATTCTTCAAGACAACTTACAGAACCAGTTTTCTACTCTAGGATTCACTATTGTTATTCAATTTTTAGTTTACAAATTCAAAGTGGGTCTTTGATGCGTGATGCACTTATGGAGCTACAGATAATCACTGTATTGTAATTTTCGTTCCCCAGTGTACCGTTACATAAATTGTGAATTAAAGTATTGAGGCAGATATACGGTAGTCTTTTCCGTAGAGGACGACTTAAAATTATTTCCGCGATTATTAATATCAACTTGGTTGGTATCAACTTGGTTTTATTGACATTTCATTCTTAGGTGTCAAGTCCAGGAATCGGTTCGAAGTTCGTTTCTGTATGATTAATACGGTATTATTCTTTGATTCAGAATATAATCCCAATGTTTTATGTTCCTAAACCTTCCATTCTAACTGAGCTCATATAACTTCAATTTTAATTTAAACTCAAATATGCATCATGGAGATCTTCACTCATTATTTTTCAGTTAATTCTATTTCCATGCCAAACTTTTACGTAGAATAGTAAAAAAAAGTCTCATAAGCCCCACGATCTTGCTGCCATTTTTTAGTGCATTACGTTATTTTAAATAACATTTATTGATCTCCCTCATGACACCCCCAGCTTGTTCGGTATCCTGGGGCCAAGAAGCGAGAGGGGCTGTGGACCGGTGACCTGGCCCTCCTGCGCCTGGTGTCGCCCCTCACCCTCGACCAGCACACCATGTCCGTTTGCCCCTCACCGCCCATCTCAGAGATCCCGGTCCCTCCTAGTCCCTCATCTTCGGGTCGTTGCGTCTTCGCCAACTGGAGCCCTCGACCCGGGAATGAAAGTGTGTATTAAAATATTTAATTTAAGTCAACTGGAGCCCTCGACCCGGGAATGAAAGTGTGTATTAAAAGGTTTAAATTAAATATGTTCACGTATGGCTCTCCAGGAACCATATGTTAAAAATCTAAAATCTAACGAATTTATTTCCAGTTTCTGTGGAAACGTTCCTCATTAAAATGTGACTATACTAAATAAAACTTGAGCTACTGAAATACTTAAAATCCTCGAAAAAATTTTATCTATTAGCGATAAAAACTCAATTTCAAAATTCTTCAAAATACTTATTACGATGTTATTGCACATTCATGTTTAATTATATGTTTGCCGGTGCCATCAGAACGCAAGACGCAATACACGCTGCAGGTGCAGGAGCTGCCGGCCTCTCACCTCGTGCCCCTGATGGCCTGCAACACGACGCACTACAGAGGACGCTTGTCTTCTGCTCACTCCTGCGCCGTGCTGCACAGCCTCCCCAGTGCGCCGTGTCATGTGAGAGAACGCACGCATGCTAAGGGAATTCACAAGGAATTTAAAAGCGAAGACAACACCAAGCAAGTTCACCATATCGATCTTTGCTTTTAAATTCCTTATGAACTTGCGATATAAGCAGACTGATAATATAAGTGCTAAGGGAATGTCATACAAGCAACCATAACACGAGTGCCACGTTTAGTATATAGAGCAGTGTGCATGGGTTAGCGCCGCTGTATGTGCAGTGATGAGATGAGAGGAGCTAGTCGTGGGTCTGAGCGCTGGGTTGTCGTCAAAGGGTGGTGCTCCCAGCATGGCCTTGAGTTGATATCACGTAACGAACTTTAGGTATCTATGAGGGATCTTAAATTATAAAGTATTTTGTATTACAAGTCATCTAGGATTAATAAGTAAGAATGCTCATTGTTGTCTAGCTTTTCAAGTCTAATGAAGGCTGCGTTTTCAGGGCGACGAAGGCAGTCCACTAATGTGCCAGTCTAGCGATGGTTCGTGGACGCTCGAAGGTCTGTTGAGCTACAACAGCCACTGTGGCACTGCAAGGCATCCGGCTGTGTTCACCGCTACTCGTGCTCTGGAAACGTGGATTCTAAATACCATTGGAATGGCTCAGAACCCGCAGTTTATACCTGATATTTCCCCTAAAACCAAAACCAGCGCTGAGGTCAAAAATGTCGAAGAACTGGCTGCAGTCATCACTCCAACGGCTGAAACCGTACACGCACCTGTACTTGGAACGCCAAATGATGGTAGTATGTCGGAACACGACGATAAACAAATCAGTAAACCTAATGTGTTACAAAGAAACAAAACAAATCCAACTATCTTCGCCCCCGTAGCAGTAGAGTCGATCGTAGCTCCTTTAATTAGGAACGTGTCTCCTAAATCTACCGCTCCGGATTTCGGAAGTACAGTATCGTTTATGGCAGACGATACGAGAAATGAGTCACTGACTGCAATTGTTGGGGGTACTAGAACTGCTAGGGTGGGCGGTGAAACTGTTGCTGACGGGTTGGTGACGAACGACGTTTTGGAAAATTCCAGCACCAGCAATCGAAACGATATGTTGCATCCAGCTCACGAAGAAACGTCTCTAGACTTCTCAAGTTCTCCCATTGATTCGGTAACGTCAGCTTTACCAAATCAAATAATTCAACAAACTTCTATTCCACCAGATTCATTACAACGTTCTATTTCATCTTCTGTATCATCATCAAGTTCATCAAACGCTCCGCCCGACGTCACGAAGACAAAGGGATTTTCGTCCCCATTACTTTCAGCATTAACCACTTGATCGCCGTAACCATCGATGTAGTTCTTATTCTTTTGTGACGATTAGTCGGACGTGGTGGTATTAAAATCCGTTCTTATCATTTACTCTACGTGTTCACTGTTCATGTAGAGATATCGAGCGAAGCACTGACTTATCATCCATTATATCAATGTAAGTAGTCTCAGCTTGCACATTGCTGGAAGCTCTGTGCTGACGGGAGGCGCGCTGCACTCAGGCGTGCGATGGCCGCGGTCCAGCAGTGCAGGGCAACAATTGACCGCCGGAAAATCGTCAAGATTCGTGGCAAGAAGTGCATAATTGCGTATCAATGATACGCCTTGTCAAGTCATCAAGATTCGTGATAGTAAGTGCACAATTAGCGTATCAGTGATACCACGCCGTGACAAGTCGTCAAGATTCGTTGTAAGAAGTACATAATTGCGTATCAGTGATACGCCGTGTCGAGTGGTCAAGATTTGTGGTAAGAAAGTGCACAATTAACGTATCAGTGATACGCCGTGTATTTGTCACGAGGCCTGAGGTCCGCGACGCAAAAAGTCAACGAACCGCGCGAGTCTCAATCTCTCAACATGCAATTTTTATCGACTAGTTGCAAAAAAGACAAAAATGGTCAAGTATTTATTATTTGGTACTGACTACTTGTAAGTGCAATATCGTTATTGAATCAATCATTCTCCCCCAGTTGCAGGATATACTCTGTAAGATCTTTCTATTACTCTGCAATTTTTCAGAAGAATATCTAGGTTTTAATTATACTCGATACTTACGTTGTTTTGTCTATTGCAATCAATTACTCAGTTGAAAGTAAATGAGATTATTTCTGTCACAAATGTATAAGATATATGACATATGTAAACGATTTATGCTATTTAAATTAAGATCAAAAGACAATCGTTTATCCGATAAGTTAATGCGTAACTAAGGCTTACGTTGGAGGCTAATCTGACAAGCGCCAATTATTTTATGATGATTATCATTATGTTTTAATTATTAAAAAAGTGTACATGCTCTAATTAAGGTAATATGTTCGTATATTCTCACTACTCGATGTATATCGATGACTGAGAGCTGTGAAGGCATAGAGTCTTAGTAATGTGCAGTGCATTTTACGCCTGCAGCCCTGTTAAATATTTAATTTTAACGAGTTGTGTCAATTTTATTGTTAAATGTAGTTGAAACTTCCTTTTGCTGTTGTCTATTCAACAGAAATGAACGTTTATTTACCTTTTAAACGCTTTCCTGGATCCCATGTTATGTTCATTCTGAATCATTCCCTTACGGAAAATCACTCGCCCGTTCTCATGCATTTATTGATTATTTTTTTAATGATAAGTGAGCGAAATTATTATCGTGAAAACGCGCTTGATTGATTGTTTCTGCCATAAACCTATAAACGTTTATCTGCGCGGGCAGAGCGGTAATCTACTGTAATAAGTTGATGATTTAATGATCGCTCTCTACGTCGCTAACCGAACATCGCGGTAGGTCTACATCGAGAATTTTTCTGAAATGTTTTTTTCACTCATAAATGATTTTTTACGCGTCCGTCTTTTGTTTTCTTTCATATTAGTTTCTAAATTCGATAAAATTGTAAGATTATATTAATAAATAAAGAAAAGAATACTATATTTCTAAAACTAGAAGTATTTTTGCCGTGTGATTCTCACTGTAATGAGAATCATGTGTGATTATGTGATATATCGTATTTGATTTTCACTATGAATTTCGGTGATGGCCGAGGCAGCTGCCATACTCGCACAATGAGTGAGGGTAAGAGTTACCCTTCATCTAAGATAACATCAAGCAGATCAAAATAATAATAGTAATTTCGATACTAATCGTAATTTCATGTTTCACTGGAATATGTATGAAAATGTTTAGTCAATTTATATACCTATTATTGAGATAATTTTGAACTCGTGTCACTTCATTTTTCTTGCTTCGGGGTTTTTTCAACCTAGAACTCTTGATTTTTCGAGTGTTTTTTTTTTTTCATTGATACATTATTAAATGAAAACTGAACTGGCCTCTCTATGCTGTGGACTTGACCTTTTCCTAACAGTGCATTTGAATTTCTGCTGAAATTTTCGTCCGTGTCAAAATTCTTGAACTCCTTTACAGTTATCACCTATTTTACTGTTACGGGGTAGTTATTTTTAATTTTTTTCTGTCTATTTTTTTTTGCACAATATGATGATTTAACATTTTCCGTTTTTTTAAGAAATTTAAGGGAACTTAAGTTAAAATAAAAATAATTAGTATCTTCATAACGAATTTCTAAAATTTGTTACAGTTTTGGAGTTCAGAATACAGGAAAATTTTTCATGGCAAAGCGTGGTTTGCATTGCTGAAACATAAATTATGTTTAAAGTATGATAATTGTACTGCTTTATAGACTTCTCGCAGTCCGTGACAATTCCGGCACTATTGTGACAGAAAATAAATCTGTTGCGGATGGCGTAAAAAGTGCGCCATTTTTAACTCTGTCGGATACAAGAATCGACCTTGTTCACAATATTAACAATATTGCAGCTGTATTATTTTATATATTTAGGCTACGGCAATGCAATTTAATTAAAATTATACATTCAAAAAGTAACAAAGTGTGACAGTAGCAAGAAAGCAAGGCCTGTCACGCAGCCACTTCTCTCAAATGCAGTCTGTGTGCTTCATAAGGTTCATAAATATTTTTCTATGTATTATTCATTTAATTATTTTACGCAGCTACATCTGTAAATTATTTTCGAAATCGAAATGTTTTATGCTACACTTGAATTGTCGAGACCTCGTTCCAATATTTTGGTTTTATGAATGATGTTATACAATAAGCGTCTATATACTATGTACAGTAAATCTCAATTTTTGCAGCGGATAAATTTGTTTATTGCAATTTCTTTTGACTTTTATTGTAGCATAACTCCGGAATGTTGTTGTATTCAGTCAGGTATAACTTCGTTAAGAACGTGATCGCAACATAAGAAGATGAGTGGTCATTCGATTCTATTAAGAATGTTCACAACCGCTTTTTGTTATTATGAAACTATTCTCTGACGAGCTTCCATCGAAGTGCCTTCTTAATAATAAGGATTTTAGTCCTTATAATAAACTACTCCTAGCTATAATTATAATATTATTTTATCACTTACGTGACGTTGGAAAGGGAGACGTCAGTCCTAAGTCGATCCGAGGCACGCATTTCTAGACATTCGCGTACGAATAAAGATATATGCACTCCACTACATATTGGTGACATTTTCGCTTACTTATCTTACTTATTCGTTACATATTCGTGCCTACTCCACTACATATTCCTGACATATTCGTGCCTACTCCACTACATATTCGTGACATTTATGCCTACTACACAACCCCTCACGGGGACTTCTGACGCGTGTCCGTGCTCGTCAGAAGTCCTGTGGGATTTCGCGCTCTTACTACTACTACTACTACACTACATATTCGTGCCTTCTACTACATATTCGTGACATATTTTTGCCCACTCGTCTACATATTCGTTACATATTCGTGCCTACATATCGGCTGTTTTTAAGAACGTGCTCAAATATTTGTTATGTCTCTTCTATTGTTCCACTATAAATGCATTTATCAGTTTCGCGTAGTTACTCTTAAATACATTAGTATTATTTTAGTTAACTCCCGTGCATTGAAAGCAGGCACAAATGAATGAGGGACTTTGTTAACGTGTGCAACTTTTGATGAAAATATAGAAGTTTAACGCTGTGTAACGGTGAATATCACAGCTGTATATTGTGTATATTTGATGTATTAATGTTATTTATACGTTGCTCTATATATTTTGTGCTACAAGGTACGAATAAAGTTAATGTGCATTATTGAACGAATAGTACATATTTGAAACGAAGCACATTTCCGAGCGGCGAGAGTATCTTTCAGTTACATATTTAGTCATGAGTGACAAGTTCATTCGTCTATGTATAGTACGGCACATTTCTGTACAGCTAGTACATTTTTCTACGGCATGTAGATTCACTCAGCATTAGTCACATAAGTACGCCTAATATGCGGGTGTGCGTTACAGGCTCCTAGGGAATTACAAACGTTATACTGCGACGAAATAATGATGTTATACAGTGTAGAGTAACAAAAGCTGCAGTATAAATATGTAATAAAAATATGTACGACAGTAAAAATGTTCTCCTCCCAAGGCTGATTAAAGATGTTCTTCCGCGAAGTGAAACATAAATGTTCTACTGTATATCACAATGAAAAACTTTATACCGCGCGTCGTTGAAAATATTAGCTTCTGCGCAAGGTTTATCAAGTTTTAATAGACATCTGATAAATATATATTATCTACTACGTAAGATTACAAAAAATATCTACGACGTAGAGGAAATGAATATGCTCGTTTTCGTACGGTATGAATAGAGAATCTTCAGCTTCGAGTAAGTAAAGAGCTATTTTACAGCGTAGGGTATAATATTGTAATGTCTTTTAATATTAGTTCTTAAGGTGCCATCATAGCAAACATTGAAATAATATCGAATACGTGTGTTTTTTTAATGTCCTTCCAAGTACATATTTTTGTTCGAACGTATCACACCATCGCTTTGAAAACGTTCTGAACGTTTCTAAAATCTCTCAAGTATTCTGAGTATTATACCATAAAACAAAGATTTATCGATGGAAAATGAAAGAAGCCATTAAGTTATCATTTATTATAAACACGTTTACAGAACGTATTGAAAATCTTCATTAAATTTTAAGCGTTATTTTTTATCATATAACGAAAATTCCTTCCAGCCGCCAAATAATTTTCGTAGCGAGCTCCTAAGTATACACATACTTTTCAGTTAACTTGTGTTACAATAAAACACTTTTCAGCCACAGGCGTAACTTGCATGACAAAATCAAAAAATTCCACACATTTCAACAGAACAGAAATTCGTAACGCACCATTCACCGTTGTCAATTTTTTATCCCGATTCAGTATTTACTTGCTAAGATTATCTTAACTTCACGAATATGGCTTGGCGAGAATATGCTCCAGTCTCACAGCTAAGTAAGCATGTTTTTTTTTTCATTTCTCACTTTTAATTTCGAAATTACTTCCAGTTTTCTACGAGGCTAAAACTTCTTAGAGAATACTGCTTAGGTTCGCTGCTCAGTCGGCATTGAGGCTGCAGCCATGGGTGCAAGCTGAGTTGTCTGGCGGTTGGTCGCGCCTTCACTACCGGTGTAAAAACTTTCTCAAGAAAATCATAAGCCGGAGGTGAACACTCGATGTGTTTCTTGCATCTGGACCGCCATGCGCCATTTCTCTGTTCCATAAACTACTAACGTGGCGTCACTCCATGAGCGAAGGGGTAGTTAGCGTTCATTAAACAGAACCCTATCACTCCAACGGCCCAAACGTCGGCTGGGTAAGGATCGTAAGGGTTTCTAGAAGCCAGCATTTCAGGGGCCATCGTGTAACGCGTCCCAGGGCGCGAAAAAGAAGCTTGAATGTCGATGGAACTAAGCCCGAAGTCGGCAACCCTGACGCTCAGATGTGGATGTTCCTCATCTATTTTACCTGCCACAAGGATATTCTCTAGCTTGAGGTCTCGGTGAGCAATTCTTTTATCATGCATGTATTCTAATGCGCCCGAAATCTGGCGCACTATGCAACGTGCGTTGCTTATCGATAAACTTTTGTTCCATCCTGCAAAGATCTCAGTCAGATCCCCGTACCTGTAGTACTCCATAAGAAGCATGTACATTCTTCGTCTGTCCATGAACCGGGCGGCAAATACAGTTACGATGTGAGGATGTATAAGCAGACGCCCGCACAGCTTCTCAGTGTTGTAGAATTTTATGAACGCTTTAGGGTTATCCTGCTGCTACTCAGCGACTTTGCATGCCAAAATTTCGCTTTATTCTTTAGTGTTGCTTATGGCCTCGTAAACTCTGCTAAATCCTCCTTTGGCAATCAGCTTGCCCATATTCCAGCGTTATCCTTTATAAGAGATATATAGTTCGTCTGAGTCGCTATGGTCTTCCTACTCCTCGTCACTCATTTCCTCGTCACTCATCATTGCGTAGCCCACTCCAAGGAACTATAGGTCCCTTTCTTCACTGCTATCTGAAGGTCTCATATCTCGCGAAAAATCTCAGCATTTTCTTGGACTTCAGTCTAATTTTGCACTCCCATGCACTGCTGAAATTTGACCAACTGTTCGCATTGACTCAGAAATAAATGTGCAGTCGCGGTAACTATGTTACCTTGAGATAAAGTATGTTCTTTTTTATTGAAAGCCAAATGTGAGAAATTTCCCTGCCGCGTTCATGACGATGCTCATGTATCGTTGATACCCGACAATCTCATCCATCATTCATAAATTTGACATTTTATTCCCTTCAGATTAAGTGCGTTTCGACAATATTTTACCTACGACCAAATAAACTAATTAAACATATTCTTAGGCACGCATGCGGAAGATTTGAAAATTTCAAGAACCCTTTTCAATAGCGACTATGTTAGATGCACTGATTTAAATTCGATACTTCCTAATTTCGAATAACATTAATTAAAATCGCCAGTCGTTCTGTCTTTAAAAATATAAACATTCGTTCCAACTAAAATTTTTACCGTAGATTTTGAACTTGCAAATTACTTTGATTTGACCAATCGAGATTTCATTCCCGCTATGAGACGAAATAAAAAACATTATTTATAAAAGTTTTCTTTATATTTTATTGAGCCATTCAATTCACATTTCAAGCAATGAGAATCTCTAATTGTTTAAAAATGCAAAATCCGTTCTATTGGCTTTTATCGCTCTCTGAGTACTGCAGAGTCTCAATTCAGAAATTATATTGAAACATTTTTAATGATTTTGAACGTTGGATTAAGGTATCATTTGACTACTTTATTGACAAGACCAAAATCGCGAAGAATATTGAAAAAATTTCTATTAGAAGTTACAGGTAAATTTCAGAAAAATTTTGCGTAACCAAAGTAACGAAATATTTTACATTTTTAAATAATTAGCAAGGAACTAGCTGTTACGTCGCCCCATAGCTAATCGGGACCGATGCTGGTCTGTAATTATTATTAATTAATAATAATTACAGACTGTAATTAGGTGAAAATTATGAGCCACTTAATGAGTATTATTTAGGTTTACTGGCCAGTCAACTACTACCATAAATCCGCATCTACCAATACAAAAAATCTATCAAAAATAATACTAAGATTAAATTACATTTCAGTATGAAACATACACGTACATGTAAAAATTAAATTATAAAACAAAGCGCCATCTGTCATACTGGGATAATTCTAATAAATAAATATATCTTACCGAGGGCAGAAAGAAACAGTAAAACATAGTATGATTTTTTACCTACCAACTGAACATCATCGGTGCATTACCAGCGTCCGGCTGAACGCATTAAGTGGTCATATAATATATTATAATCAGTTGCACCGGTTGAAGGCATTAAGTAGTCATTTTATATATTAAAACCAGTTGCACTGAAACAAGAAAACGGCTGACGAAAATTACAGCGCAAAATATTTAAATCTAATTCTATTTCACGTAAAGCTAAAGTATCTATTTCCATCAGCTGAGTTAGTTCACTATCATATCACAAAATAACTTGCATAATAACGCTGTTACTCATCCATCAGCTGAGTTCGTTCACTATCATATCACAAAATGACTTTCATAATAACGCTGTTACTCATCCATCAGCTGAATTCGTTCACTATCTTATCACAAAGTGCAGCGGATGCATCACAACCCTCACATTTATTCCTCACATAGTGAGGCCAGGAAGGTCAATAAACATATATTTCTTTAAGCTGGTATCGAAGATGCGGAGGCACTCCGATCTTGAAGTCGTCAGCCTCCTTCTTCTGCGCCAGTGAGATCTTGCGCGAGACGGTACGCACGGCTGTTTTCATTTGTTTCCGTAGGTCGGGTGTCGGTGGTTGTTCTTCAGGCATATTCAGCCACTAGAATAAGAAAAAACAAAGTTAAAAAAAGAGTAAAATAGATTAAATGTAAGTAATCAATGTGTCATTATCAATGGGAAAGTTTTTCAGACCTTTAAGAAATCATTCGTGACTCTTTGTTTTTTGGTCTGTAAAATAAAAAATCACCGGTTGGATAATCCTACTTCAAGTTCAAGTATTGAAAGGTGAGAAGAAATGTTAACAACTACAACATCTTCCATGGCGATCGGTGTTTCGTAAATAAAAATTTGTAAAAATCTTAATTTTTGACACCATGATTAAATCGTTGATTAGCTTGAGCCAAATCGAAAGGTGTTTATTCAGATTTAGGGCCTCATTTTCTAAGTTATTTATTTCGATTTTCAGCATTGCCCCCCCCTCTAGTTCAATTGTTTTTAGCATTGCCAGAAAGCTGTGCAATTGTTTGATCGCAAAAGGCATTGTTAGGCTCATGCATGCCTGAGAAAAAATGCATGTAACTGCACGTGATTCAGGTCGAGGTAACATACTTCACAACAAGACGGGAAAACACACAAATCCATTGTTAGTAAAGAGCGCTTCATAAGAGAACAGTTCATCTTTTTTAGAAAAAATGTAATAATTTTTTAGTAGTTTTTTTTACTTATCAAGGACGGCGTTGTGATATGAAAATAATCTATTATTGTCCTCGTGAAATACTCGTAAATAGAAATAATACCATCCGAGAAGTCCTTTCGTGTCGTTTGCCTATTCATGAAAGAGATCACTTATGGTGAAAAATTTAATTTTCTGTTTTAAACTCGCATTTCAGAATCCTTCTGTGATGCTCATCACCACAGAGTAACTGAACCGAGGTTGTAACGTATGAAACAAGACAAATTTACGAAGCCTTATTGGTGTCATTTGCCCGAATTTTCAAATTACGGAAATTTGATACTCGATTCGCGAAAATTAAGGTAATATAAAAAATATAACAATCATTTCCATAATATCAAAAGGTACGACCACGGAAGTGCATACGACGTATTCATAACATTAATAGCCCCCATGATTAGGTTCAATTTAATCACCTTAATAATTAGGAATTGACTGCGAAGTTTTTTTTTTAACTCGTAGTATGAGAGACACACGGATTGCAAGAGCGCGCTGTCTGACGACCTCTGAATGTCGCAGGTCAAATACAGCAGGGCGAGTGTCGGGTACTTTCAAGCTCAGGAAGTGAAGGCCTCTAATCAGCATAAATTTCAAAATTGCTCTGTCTATATACACGGACTCCACATACATTCTATACAATTTGGAAAAAAATGAATGCTGGTGCTAATGAATACGAACATAAATTTTCAACGTGATCATTACGACATACACAGCAGTTTTAAAGAAAATGTCGGTGCCACAGCTGTTGTCATAAGCAAGCACTAACCAATTATTGCGTGAATGCAGAAATTAAAGTGAGTTTCATGATATACAAATTAAATGCAATCTAGTTACTGAATAGTCTCTCTAACTATTGCATTTGTTACTTTGGTCGGAAAATCGTGACGCTAATACGCGCTTTCTTATGTTAGGTGCAGGTCGTAGTTCAATTTAATTTTCCCATTTAAGTGATAATGATGCCGAATAAATTGTTATAATTCTATCATTTTCGCCAGCTGCTGTCAAACATGGTATGATTGAGACAATTCATTTAGGTGAACGATTACCCTTTAATTTTCTTTTTAACAATAACTCGTAAAAAAAGGGTGTAAAACCCTCTAATGTTGGCGTGAAATATAGTGTACAAAAAAATTAATTGTACGTAGAATTTAAAACTCATACCTAACACCGGTTTTCTTTTGTTAATTTTTAGTATTGAATTAAAAACCATTGTTATTTCTGCTTTCAGATCAAATAAAGGCACATCACATGAAGCCCTGGGAGGCTGGGTGCCCGAGAACTCAGCACGTCGTCCGTCCGCATCTACCTCATAAATAAACGCACGTCGTCTGCATCTACCTCATAAATAAACACACGTCGTCCGCATCTATACCTCATGCGCAGCGAAGTCTGCACATTCGCTGCTCCTGTTAACGTTAGTGACCGGTCGTCGGAACATGCCTGTTCTCTTTGCTCTATCGCTGAAGCTGTAGCTTCTTCTCAGTGAATGATGTTCGTTCGTTGGCTTTCCTGAAAAGGATGTTGTGCGTCTCAAGCTCGAATTACTTGTGATTGATGGCGCCCACTCAGCAGAATCTAACGGTGCTTCAAAACCATCTGTGCCTGAATTTTCCTCAGTTTCGGGCAACGTGTCAATTTGGGAAGTTCCGACCAATTTCGGGCAAAGCTTGCACGAGTAATCAATGGAACGCGATGACCTGAACGAAAGTTTTCGTGTTAGAGCATTTCGTCCTTTTGGGTAAGAGATTGTTTCGTTTGTGAAGGAAGTAAAACTTTGAGGCTTTTTTGGACTATTGTTCAGTATATAAGACCTTTTTCGCAATGGCTTTGCTGTCGAAGATCCATTGAAAGAATAGCGGCGACGAAGTTTAGTCGAAGCATTTTTGTATACAGTGTGAATTTGTGGAGTGTCCAGAAACGAAACGTGACGAGTTAACCCAGGTCTGGTTTTAGTTACGTTGCCCAACGCTTCGATTTGTGGTTCATTGCTAGAATGAATGGTCCTCATGGGCGAAGTTGTGTTGTTTTCACTTTCCATTGAGAAAGACTTATTGAAATAACTCGGATGTATACCGAAGATCTGAAAATCTTCCGTTGTTATCCCATTTTGCGTCAACGTCGCCATCTCCTTGCAGCTGAAGATGAGATTGGTTGTTAGCGCTGGGTAGTACTTTTGTGCGTCCTGAAAACCTGGAACACTCTTCGCAACTTCTATTATCGAAGCTGGAGAGTTTGGTTCAGCGGCGCATTTCTGCAGGTAAGCCTTCCGAAAACGTTTTGAAACTTTTCTCACATAATTTGGGTCGTTTATAGAAACGTAGCCTAATTTGGCCGTTTCTAGTATAACACTACCAGGGCCGGCATATTTTTCTGAAGAGGACGAATTTTCATGCTCTTGTTGCGCTAATTCAATTACATCGATTGATTTTAACGTAAGGACGAAGTCCATTCTTTCAATCGCGTTCTCAGTTTCATCGCTCATGTCGGGGGCTCCGGAGGCGGCATCCGATTTTTCGGATGTAAATTTGAGGTCGGATTCAGGGCAGTTCCGCCTTAATTTTGGAATGCAAGTGAAACACTTCTTTGAATCTTTAATCAAAGCGATGCCTTTATTTTTCTGCCTTATAAATATGGTACGGATAGAGCCGAACTTGCCAAATGAGGATTTTGGAAGAGGTCTCCTTAAGGAACTGAAAACTGAACCAAAAACTTCCATTATACCGGAAGTAAGGTCAGTTTTAATTTTCTTATTCCATTTAAATTGCCTATTAACAAATTTACCTGTAAGGAGAGAAAGTATCCGTAATTCATGTTTATGAAAGTAATTATAATTTCATTCATGAATTGTGTGCTTGGAGAATATATTCAAGTTAGGATCTTGCGTGAGTTTCATTTTGTGGATTCTACTTGGATGAACAAATTTACAATTGTTTGAAAATTGAATCCAGTTCTTACTGCTTGCTACGTAGTTCGAGAAAATAAAAATCCACGGAATAGAAGTTTGTTGGAAATACACCGTGAAACCGTAGAAGGAACAAAAGTTTCCAGTCAGTTTGAACGAGTATATAAAAAGCGAATATTTCTACAAAGCCATTCAGTCATCGATAAAAACTGCATTCCAGTTGGTTGTGGGATTTTCATCCTTGAATGGCGCCAAGTTAAATACTTTTGGATAGTCGGCATCAGTAACGGAAGGACCCATAAGCGATTTTTACCCTTTCTGCTGTTACCATTACCGTCATTTTAATTATGCCAGATAACTATTTTAGGAGTGGAATTATTTTGTTTATATCGAGTAAATTTATTTTCAAGCCAAAAAACCCTTTAATTTTTGAAATTAAATCAATGCGTGCGACGTCGTCGAACGCCCACGTCTACTATACTCGTCAACGGTCGACTTGACACTGACTCTCATTCCTAGTAACAAGCGGTTGGTGCATTTACTGGTGCGGCGAATACGTGTCGTTGTCTTGTGGGCTGGGTGGTGATGCATGGTCACGGTCTCAACGGAGGTTGCGTGTGTGTAGTATCAACATTTCGTGATTTTTGCTGAGAAATTACTGCAGGCAAAATATAATTGAATTCAATCCATTTATGGTTTGTAGATGCTGTTGCTTCAGTTGACTGGATAGCGAAAAAAAATCGAGGCAGTACCGGTATAGGTAATTATTGTTATGTGTCAGGATAACTAAGTGGAATTAGTGAGTAGTCTAATTGAACTCAAACAATATTCCAATGTTGATATAGATATTGCATTGCTTATTTCAGGAAGTTTACAAAAGATTATCTTCGTAAGTTGCGGCCTTACTCTACATCTCTGTGCGGTTTAAAGTAAAAATACTCTAAACAGCTCAGCTCCATGTTTATTCGTTAACTTTTAGCAGTAATAGTCAATTTACGTTTTGAAGTTATGAGAATGTAAATCACGTACATGTTAGTAGAAACTTGAATATTGCGTAGGAGAAGCATTCTGACACTTTTTTTAATTTTAAAATTAAACCTACAGTTGTTTCATTTTGATCGATTTTTAAGTCATTGCCAGTTCGCTCATTCGGAACCTCGTTACGCAATCTGTATTCCGCAGGTCCGAGCGACGTATTTTCCAACGCCTGCAGAGAGCCATTGTTTGCCTGGGCTGAGCTGAATTGGTCATTTCGAAGGCCTTTCGGAGGAGTGAGGCATATAATATGTAGCAATTTTTACAGTAGCTGGTGAAGTGATGCGAGTCAAAACTATCTAAACAAATTTCTATTCGCTGGTCGCCATGTAGTGGAAAGTGCATACATGCAGCGGTCATTGCAGAATATCGAGCAGTTTAAAAATATTTTATTGTGTGAGGAAAATAGATTTATACATGTTTAAATGTTTATATTGTCTACTTGTTTTGATAATTTATTTGTAAATTTACTCTTGCTGCCGCCATTCCTCTCCCAATTCTATGATTCCGTGTAAAGTATACGATAATATCTCCATCAAAGTTCTCTTTAATTGCGACTCAATTCAATTAAATCGAATTTGTGGTTTCATTTTGAACAGAAATAAGACTTTTCTGATCATGCATCTTATACTTGCAATTTTTCGATCCTCATTAGTTATTTTCACATGTTTTAACATTTATATTATTGCCTGTACTCATTCGAAAATTGACAAATGAAAAAGATTGCAAAATCACACCGCAACCACAATTCCGACGAAAATATCCAAAGTTATCAATTCAACTCGAAGAAAACATGGCGCATTCATTTTTAGGAATATGCTTCACTTATTCAAAATTCTATCATTTATGTAACATCCTCAGTTCATCGATTTATTTAATTATTGCTCGTCTAAACAAGTTTTGAAAGCCGCAAATCATCAGCTGATAATTTAACAAATGAAATTCATCCATCACAACCGTCACCACACGTCCATGTACAGTCCTTCCTCTTTTCCACTCCTCTACACCTTTCTTTCATTTGTGTAGCCTTGTCAGTTTTTCATCGAATCGTATATTGTTCTGAACAAGTTATGAACAAGTTCTAGAACAAGTTCGGAACAAGTTATTGTTCTAAACAAGTTTTGTTCTAACAGCTGATAATTTAACTAATAAAAATTGATCAAATTACAACCGTATCTCACCTCCATGTACGGATCTTTCTCTCTCTCGGGCTCCTGTTCTGTCGGAGCCGCCAATTCCATGTCCGGCTCGTCTGCCGCAGGCGAAAGTTTGCCGCGTCGCATGCGACTGCAAGGCGGAACATTAGATTATTTCAAAATTAAAAGAGAAAGCTGATATTAGCTTACAGTTATTGATATTGTGTATCACCATAATCGCAATCTATAATCTAATAAAGAAAATGCCAACTAAATTCGCCAAACTTTCATTGAAATCGTTTCGTGTACGAGCTCGAATATTCTGTCCATTATATCAATTATACTCAATATAAGTTTAAAAAATGTCATATTAATTCCCTGATGAATGAATTCTTTATCTTTCTTGGAGCAGTGTTCGCCTTTTTTAAAGTAACCTTATCCAAACTGAATTAAATTGATCTAAATAACGTTTGAAATTGTTAATTGTTGAGTTGTCATCTTCATTCACGGGTTTAATTGGAATTGGAAATTTAGCCTTTAATATTAATCGTACATATTTATTAGTACCAATTGTCGTTCGCATCAGCTTGAAGTTTTTAAGCATACGATGAATATGGTCGCTGAAAAGTTTTCAATTAAAATCTTGGTGCCAGTAGACTCAAAATTGCTGCCAGTAGACTCAAAATTGCTGCCAGTAGACTCACCTGTAGACGAAGGCGTGGTGCCAGTAGACTCACCTGTAGACGAAGGCGTGGTGCCAGTAGACTCACCTGTAGACGAAGGCATGGTGCCAGTAGACTCACCTGTAGACGAAGGCGATGCCGATGATGATGAGGATGACAGAGATGACCGCTAGCAAGACGCCAACCACGTTGAAGCCTTCGCCGGGCGCGGGATCTAGAAGACGCGAAATCGCACAATTAACAATTATATAATTAACTAAACAATAATCGATTATGAATGATTAATTAATACTAAGTATTAAACAATTAATATAGTTCATTCTGTTACATTATTTGATATTGTGGGAATTTTTTCAATACAATTCGTATTTTTAAAGTACAATTAGGTGGATGGCGCGCATTCAATATATATTCCCAATAATCCTTCATACAAAGCTCACTTTTATTAGATATTATTACATATAACGTAAAATCGGGTTCTCGATTCAGTCTTAAGAACTTATCGATGATATAAATAGGTCATCATGTCGCATAAGATTGCTTTGATTCTTTCAAGGGAGATTTAATTAGATTCTCCGTGGATTCGCTCCATGAATTTAAATCTTAGAAAAGTATTTATTAATTCACATATACTCGCATAATGCAATCAAAACAAAGTAATTGATTCTATAAATTTATATTATTGATGTATATTCTTGGTTAAAATTATTTTATTATTAATTATTATCTTGTGAATATTTACATTCAATTATTATTGAATTTAATTATTGATTAATAATTTCTAAAGTACCCAAGTATTATCTTCCTGTTTTATGTCTACAAATTTTTATCCGTATGACTTTATAAATTTGTTATTTTATCTCAAAACTATTATTTCCCGGCAAAGTCAGTGAGAAGAAGCGTCAAACTTTTGCTTGCAGCGTAACATTCACTTTCCTATATTAACCCCTCCTTGCTGCGTAGCATTCAAGCTTCATTTAATTGATGTTCTCATGAATGTTTTGCAATGGTTTAATGAGGTTTAGTATACGTGACTATAGTCCTGCTTCGCAATATTCGTCGGAAATTTTAGTGATGTGCGGACGCTTATCACTTTGAAAAATTTTTTAGTAGTTGGGCCTTGTTCCCTCAATTTCTCCTGAATAAATATCCATAGATGCATAATTTTGTATTTTGGTTGAACCCATTCCGTCCATATTTGTCCAAGCTCTTCTAGTAATGACAGTGTGCCAAACAAGATTTGAACTCTACAGTAGTCAATATACGCCTTCGTTCTTGTGCGTAAATGTTTGCCTAAAGAAAGCTAGTCTGCGCCAAGCCTCCGCTCTAGCATAAACAAGATCAAAATGGACAAGTGTCCTCTGATTTAAAGGTTAGCGACGCGAAAATAGCATTCGGCCTCGCAATGCAACGCATATTTTATCTCAGGTCGCGCAATGCACTCGGTAGTGCAGGTGCTATATAGTCGAGTGCAGTGCGTTGCAAAGTTGGTCGCCATCTTCGTTGGAATTTATTATTATAAATGGACAATATTATTGTGAACAGACAATATTATTACTTTATATACACTATTTATTATGTTAAAGCATCAACATCTTACGATGTACAATAATTGGAACATGCACTTACTGAATTTATCTAAAAGAAAAAAAAAACGCCCATCGTCTGTATTTTCTATATATATTAGTTGATATTCTTCTAATTGGTCATTCAGTGAGCAGTCGTAGACAAACGATTTATGGTTTAATTATAACAGGGATTTAGTATGGAAAGAGCCTCCGCCAACGACAACATACATGTTTATTTACAAAAGAAGTCGGAGCTCAGGGCCAGAATCGGAAACGCATTCAAGTTCCTTGGTTTTGCGGTCATGGTTCCGAAAGCCGCGCCCAGAGCAAAAGGGCAGCGAGTGATGACAAACACAACTTATTATATGTACGTTAGAAATTTTTCGCGCGGTCAATGATTTAATTCATCATTATTAACATATTATAGCTGCTAGTTGCTGCTACACGATCACAGATTAATGCCCGGACCATAATGCACGGTCGATACGGGAGGTCCTCGATGATAAACGCTTACGATGTTCCTGACGTGAGCTAATTTCTCAGGATTAGAATTTTTCTTGTACATGTTTCCTAGGAATACGACGATGGAAAATCTACGGCAAAACTAATTGTGAATGGCAGCCACTGATTTTCCTTTCTCTGACTACGCAAGGACATGAAAATTACTTCGAAATATATGTTTTTTCTTGGGTTTATTCTGAAGATTTTCTCTCTTGTACTGGAAGAACTTTGCTCATGGCAACGTAATTTATTTCTCATTCATTTTCTAAACTTGCTATAGGAAGTCAAATAAAATTGAATAACAAATTAAAATCTGTTTGTTAAATAATTATTCGAGATACTAGTTGCAATTTTCACTAATTGAAGTGTTTTTATCGAAGAGTAGAGAATGCAGTAATGCAAAATTGCGTGCCAATTAAATGATAAGCTCTTACAAAAATACATCTGGTAAAGTTATGTTCATCTTGTGTTTAGAAAATAGTTTATTTTCAAATATCATGTTCTTCTCGGGTCCTAGATTGTAAATTCGAACTTTTCATCATTTTACGCAGTTCAATTCTTGTTATTCTTCCGTGCTGCAATTAAATAAGATTTATGTTTGTTTGCCTATTCGATAATTGACAAGTTACTTGAAGTTTTCTTGCATAAATTAGTAATTCACTCGGACTCGATAACAACGTTTTAAATGTTAAATTTTTGTTTAATAGGCTTATTATGGAACGAAATAGCAACAATAAATTAGCTTACCAAAAATTGGGAATATCTTAAGATTTTTTCCAACTTCTCGTTGATTCTGTTCTTAACTCATTGCGTTCAAGGTCATTTGGTGACCTTATGCAAGGTCAACTCGTAACGTGGTCGAATATCTCAACGCTGCCAATTGAGCGTAACGTCGCTACGTTAATTAACACGGCATGCTACAAGCTCGTTATGTTCATGTGAAGTTCATTATGTTGATGCTGGTGTTCATTATGTTCATCTTGAAGCTTATACTGTTCAAGTTGAATGCGTTAATCACTTGAGTTGAGCACACTTATGCTTTAAGTTTGAATTCATTTTTCACAGAAGGACTATGCAATTTTTAGTACTATATTTGGTTATTTTGGATAGAATTAAAAATAAATCAAAGAACGCATCACAACACGTGTAGGTAATTCTGGGTGTACTTGAGCTGGTGTTATTGCATCATATCATCTGTAATTTTATTATCTTAATATAATTAAAATATTAATAACATATATAAGTAGATAAACATGTAGTGACAGTAACTATCCTAGTTTTATAGGTAATGTAGTAATGAAAACACTCAACATTACTTCGACTTTCCCCAGCCACACGCGACACCTTGACTCTGTTTAAGAGCTATGGTCAAATTGCACCAAAATATCCTCATCCGTCAATTGCATGGACTAGTTTTTTAGCATAGCAAGCGACTTCCAATTATTGGCAATCGACTGCCAAATTATCTGCTAAAACGTGGGTCGTGTGAGCGCGACGAACTGAATCCAAATGTTGTTTTTTTGACATTATAAAAAGATGGTCAGTCTTTGGGCGAACAAAAATATGAGGTTTTGAAGTGTGTCAATTTGCACTAAGATATCTATGATTTATTTAATCTAAGACATTTTATTGAAAGTTTATTTTGGAAGAGTTCGTTTGTCTGCAGGCCGCTATTAAATGAATTTCTCGTATGGAGATTTTGCATGGATCTGGATGTGCTGTGCACATATTTATTTTACATGGATTTGGATTTTCTATGTATGTATTTAATTTACATGGATCTGGATTTTTTGTTCTTAAATCTCAAGGAAATCATCTGTGCCAAGAAGTTTCAAGTCAAGCTTCTAGTCTCGCGTCTATTATAGAAAGTTTGTTTACGTGTTTGAAGCCTTGCACTAAAAATAAATATCGCTCTTCAAATGCGTTTCCGCATTACCTTGCGTGTCGGGATTTTACTTAGATCTGCGATTTTATTTTAGTGGTGGAATTACGAGACATCGCAAAAACAGGAAGTGCAGTAAAAAATTGAATTAGGACTCCAAAATTGTAATTAGATGGAGTTTCTTTGTTCAATGAGAGTTATCACCTATAATTCGTTATTTTGAATGAGCTGTGGTAAAAATTCATCTTCATAGCTGGGAAAACTATTTGACTGACTAGCCAATATTAAAAACTGACCATGTTTACTAGCTGGTTTAAGAAAAAATAATCAGGATATTTGGTGGGTAAGAAATGCAAGCGTTTCCAGTAGGAATTTGCGTATGCAGCGATTTCGGTGAGTGATATTTTAATTTTTAAATTTACGCATAACTTAACGCATTTTTTAGTTGAATGATTGAGAATTTAATGAAAACATATAAACCAAATCCTCTTCCGGTGCTTAAGATTTGAGGATTCCGGAATTCGCGGAGAGTTTCAAACGAAAACTTTATCTTCACAACGCTTATAATTGATCTCTGCTTGGAAATGTTAACATAAATATTGTTTGCTTTACTGCACCTTTTATTAATAAATTTAGGTCATAGTCGCTATCGTACTAATATAGTCGTTATTGATTATTCTTTAATTAAGGCAAATTTGAACGAAGATGGTCTCGGAAACGTTTAAAAAAATAGCGAGTTTTCGGCATTAGTCGGCCATTAAATTCTTCGTTAACCTGTCATTAGAACTAGAGTAATCATTTGAACCTGATACTAAAATAAATCATAACCTGCCGATATTACTTAAACCATAAGGTGTCTTTAAGTCATTGATTTTTTGGGTAAAAATTCGGAAAATAAATTGATCGCATTTTGACCCTTGTAAGCTCGTACCGCGTACCAAGCTGACTCCATTTTCGGTGAAAATATTTGAAAATACTATGCAACTTACTAGCGTCATGTAAAACTTGACAAAACGTACGCTGTTGTACGAAATATTGCTAGACAAGAATACGAGCTTATGTTGTAGATGCGCTTGTGACACCAAACAAAAAAGTTTGAATTGTGCTGGGAATTCGATGAGTGATCAAATTTGCATTGTACCATTTGCCGTTCGAGATTTTCAAGCAAGATTATAGTTCATTCTAATAAAGTATTTCATTATTCCATACCCTTGTTAATCGCTCATTTTTAAAAGCCTGGCACAACCTTAATATATTACCTTT